TAATAATAAGAAGTCGATAAGTTATATTATGGGCCTCTATGAAATTTACATTTTGCGAAAATGAATATTTTAAATTCAGATTATCCCAAATTTCGGTCAGTATGGCATAAGTTGCAAATTAATGTGGACCTTATGTGCCTTAAAGTGTTGTTAAATTAATAGTGACTCAGCCCAAATACCCTTATCAACTTTGAACAGGGCAGCTGTTTGAGGAGCCTATTGTTAACTTGCCAAATAATATAAACAGTTTTTATAATTTTATAAAACTAAAGCTTCATTTTGATTATAAATTTAAAAGAAACCATTTTAAAGGGTGGTGGCATCAATAATATAGAAATTTTCACTTTCTCTCCATGAATACTTAAAATATATTTTACAAATTAATAATTCATAGGTTTTTAGTTTTTATAATATTTTGTTTTTGAATGATAAAGCTGAATATATTCACAATTTATTTAAACTTAAACTTGACAATGTTATAAAATTTTTACTTACATTTTCAAAATCTTGAAATCATAATTTTATTGTCATTAATATTGTGAATTTAGAACTTCAGTGACACTACGTTAAATACAACACTTATTCGTAAATGTTATCGCAACTACAAAAAAAAAAAACTTGTAAAAAAAAACTTTTATAAGAATGTCAATTAACTTTCTAATTACATACACAAATATTATGTAACAGACATTTTCTCATTATAAACTTTCCCTTTTAATATTCATAAATGATATTTTTGAAGTAATAATATTGCATAATAGATTATTATAATAATGTTTAATTTGAATAAATATAAAACTTTATACAGGATAGTATATAACTATATAATGAATATTTTTGTATACGTATGTACATAACATACATACAAATGTTTACATAATTTATTTCATGACTATAGAAATCCAAGAATTTTATGTTTTGAATTCTAAGTACATAGTTTGTTCAGTATAACAATATTGTTCATATAATCTGACACTATATGTTATACTTGCTGCTGTAGTGCCGTGTATAGCATCCACACAAATTTGGATGTGAGTGAATAACGCCATTTAAATTTGAGTAAAAGCGTAATGTGTAAAAATACTGTAATTAAAATATAGAAAATATAATAACACAATAAAACTCTTATGCTTGTTAAAAATTTTTAGTAAATTAATTTAAATAAGCAAAGTAATCTGTTAAACTATAGAAGTTTTGAATTTCTGAGTGAATTTGTAAAGGACGGCATAAAAAACAAAAACTTGATATTTGTGGTAAAAGTTTTGTTTTATATAGAAACGGAGTTTTCACCCATCCCCCTATTCTAATACAGTTAGTCTTTCAACCTCTAATCGTTAAATTTTTTTGGACGGGTTATTTAGTTCAAAAGTTCTATTTGTGATATACTCGTAATTATTCATTTCATAAGTAAAGAAGTAACGGCAAATGTTACCTTATTGAAAAATTTGTCCCAACTGAGCTATTTCGGTGTCTGTCTTACCCAATATTAATGCTCTATTTGGCCGCGAACCCGTGTTTTTAAAATCTTAAAATGTTTAAAGGAAAACTGCCATTTTACAAACCATTGCTGAGTAATTATAAAACTATTTTATAAAAATTTTAATTATTTTGAATAATCGATTTCTCCTTCAGCTAAAATTTTATCAGATATTAATCATGCATTCATCCAGTTTTACCTCAGGTAATATACTCATTTGCTTTTTGTATTAATCAAAATCCAGAATCAATATAATAAATGTGTATATACTCTAACGTGCACGGAATATATATAGGTAAAATGAAGCAGGTGCACTTATATTACGTTTCATATTAAAAAATACAAGCAGAAATGTTTCAGTCGATTTTAACAAACTGAATTATACCCTACACCATTATGATCTGATTATAAGATCAAAACCTAGTGGCCCAGCTGCATGTGGGTGGATTGGCCGTATGCTGCAGGATAGGATTATTAAGTCAACCATAGCTGATCACACGTTCCATAGTTAATACCCTTCTGTGGTGAATCGTATTTACATCCGCTGGGACCACGATGAGGGGCTACGTTGATGATGTGGCCTTTCTCGTCTCAACCTAAGGGTTATGAAGGATTTATTCTAAGGCGGCGGGCTAAATATTAATTTAACCTTTATTGCCTTCATTGCCTTCACAAGATGTGATTGATGAACCCATTGTGTACTGCAGAGAGGTAGGTAATTGGGGGTAACCCTCAACAATCGCCTCTCACATATATAGGGTCATCGGAAGAGCAACAAGCGCCCTATCTACCGACAACGTGTGGGAATTTTGTTGACAAGACTCGGAGCATTAATCGTAGAGTAGCATTGTGGCTATATAATGTCCTTGCTAAGCCAATTGTCACCTATACGTCCGTGGTAGGATGCGGTGATTGTAGGGGGGGAATTCCTTTGCACATATCTCACTACATCTAACTAATGTATAGGGTATAAAAATATTTTTCGTCTTTTAATTTCTCATTTTTATAAAAGACACCAATTAAGTTAATATACATTTCCTTAATAAAATCTAAAGGATGGAAAAGGTATAAAGAGAAAGAAAGAACAATAACTTTTTTTTTTAATTAAAAATTAAAATTTACATTATCGTTGCTACAAAATTTCCTTTTCACTTACACCAGCATATAAAACTCAGACAATATTTTATTTTCCTATACACAGTCACAGAAAACTTTTACATATATAGTTGTTAGGTTAAAGAGTACAAAGTTACAAGTTAATATGTAACATGGAAATTTTGTCAGAGAAATTTTAAAGAAGATGATGAGGTAAAAGTTAACAACCATTATGGAAGTGAATTAAGTATGCATGCACAGGTATGCAATATTTTTATTTAGCTATAGGTACATGTACATAAAGCAAGCTTTGTATTAAACTGTGCTATTTCACATTGCTTAAGTAAACAAAATTTTCTGAATGATGCCACCAAAGGAATAGACAAATTTTCTAAACAGATTTTTTTTTCTGTTTCAAGCGCATTTCATTAAAAAAATGTTAAAAATAAATTCATATACTCGTACCGTGTATGCATAACCGGCATTTTGTGGTATGAATTTTTTTTGTTTATTGTAGCGTGACTTTTTATGTACATATTAATTTATTTTATAATAAAAAAAAGTGAAATATTATATTTTATAATATTTTTTTAATAAAAGAAATTTCATATTTATATTTCTTCTCTAATTGCCACCTTTATTTTGTTTTTATGCTTATTGCTTATATGATATGTATAAATGAAGTTTATTCATAAGCTCGTATACATATATACATAGCATTGCTGCAAAGCATTAAACGTTATTATGCACACGATATTATAAAAGAATGTTATTGTACTCTTGGAGTAATAATTTGTATACAGGTATACAAATAAAAATGTGGGATGAATTACCGCGGGGATGTATGGAGGGAGAAGGAATTCAAAATTAAAATAACTACCTGATTTGTTGTTATACGTACACATGTATGTCCTATGGTAATATTAAATTTAATATAAAAAAACATTAAATAATAAAATTATTATAATGGTATAAGAGGAATGAATTATTAACAATATTGTGATACCAGAATATTCAAGAAACGCGGAATAAATTGTAAACAAAATCCATTTTTGAAAAAAATTACCTGCATATTTTGGTACAAAGTATATTTGAGTTTTTATAAATTGTTGCTTGTAATATAATCTAAATTTAATATGTTAATTATTACTTCTTGCTTTTTAAATAAAAATTTGAAATTTTGTTTCAGAAAATAGCTTAATCAGCATTCCGCCATTTACAATACTACAAGAGTGATTTGAAGGCAAGTTGTCTCACTTTTCTAACTCTCGCAATCTAACTTAAAATAATTATTTCTAATAGACGTCTCAAATAAACCTCGAAAACAAAAATGAAGCTCAGCTTACTATTCAAAAGAAAAAAATATAAATTCATGAGAATAATAATTGTTAGGTTGAACGTTGAACTAAAAATACGAGTAAAATAGAATTTATACTGTTAAGTCAAACAAATTCAAAATAACTTAAACTTCTTCTACGAGTCTTTTCGATTACTTTACCTTCAGTGCTGCATAGTTTATTGAACTTTCTATTGTATTGAAATATACAAAATAGAAATGTTGAAAAAATTATATACAGGGTGATTCGTAACTAGTGTTAATTACTACCGGGCTGATCCTTAGAATTACTCTGGAGAGTTTAAAATTAAAGGATAAATAAAATTATATTGAAAAAAATTCTGACTGACAATAATATTAAAAACAACTTCGAAACTGTTGAAATTAGAGCAATTTTTTCTGCAGACTTACTGTTTTCGAGTAATAGCTATACTTAAACATAAAATTTTGATAAAAACTGTTATACTTGTATAACATTATATCTCTTAAGTATCCACTTCATAAGATTTTTGTACTTCTTATTTACTTAATTAACAATTCTAATTTTACCATTAAAACAAAAAAATTTACAATTTTATAATGTATAAAAATTGCTGGGTATTTATTATACACCCTGTGTACAGGAAATAACTAACAATTCACACATTATATCAATGGTACAACAATTCAGTCTTTACTAAAAATATTCATATAACGGTAAAATATATTTTTTTAAATTGTATTATAACTATACCGTTACTATATTATTGTCTTCCTACATTTATAACCACATTTTTTCAATATATCAACAAACATACATAATTTATGTACATATGTAATTTCTCTAATATAACAGTAATTTAAAATACAAAAATACTTAATAGTTATAAACCTCACTAAACATAATTTTCATGAAATATTGTAAAAGTGTTAAAAACACAACCCTTGCATATATTTTTACATTTTGTTTATATAATATTTATGAACTCTTTTTTAAAACTAAAAAAATTTATATAATATTTGTGTTATACTGTGTATACTCGTATCATATACATATACTTATATATGTACATACAATATATAAATAATTTAAAAATAAAAATTACTTCTTACCTGTCAGCTTTTTTAACACCAGACCATATTGCACCAGTTACCGGTGGCATAAAACGTAATTTACGTATTGGTGGTGATGCATATGGTATACCTTTATATGCTTCAACTGGATCTAAATGACGTCCTTCTAATTGAACTATAACACCCGAAACTGCACCATATTTTGTATGTACAATACGTGACGATAATGTCGGTGGTAATTGCTCATTATTTTTATTATTATTATTGTTATTATTGCTATTACTATTTAATCCTGATGATGAAGATGATGATGTTGATGATGATGACGATAGTAACGATGATGATGATAATGATCCAGACGATAATGATGATGATGATGGTATATATGCAACCGAACTACTATATGTATTACCATTTATATTTATATTACCATTATTATTATTATTATTATTATTATTTATATTAATATTATCATTACCACCATTATTTAAATTTAAACCTATACCACCACTACTGCCACCTCCAACATCGATGCATAGTAAAAGAAATATTATGCTAACGAGTAAATGAGGTGAATATAATCTTACTATTAACATTATATGAATTTCAAAAAAAAAAAAAAAAAAACGAAAAATGTGAAATATTGTAATTTATAATTTTTTTTTTCTTTTTGTATTTTTCCTCTACAGAAGGAATTTAAATTCTTTCTGTTCTTCTATGTGCTTGTATTTTTATTTGTATATATATATATATTTATATTTAATATTTTTTAATGAAATTTCACGCTATTTATTATATAATAATTTTGCTGTACAAAATTGTGGTGTATTGTGGTGTATTTAATTGTTTTGTTTAAAATAGTTTTTGTTTTTCCTTTTCTATTTCAAGATGTGGACTTAAATTTCAACGTGGAAAATCCTTTTATTTTCCTCCTTTTAATTTTTTTTTTAATATACAATATGTAATTGTTGTACTTTTTTTATTTATTATATTATTGCTCTCGCATTTCTACTACAACTGCAAGCACATAGGTACTTTACTTAATTTTGTATATTGTGCACTTAGTTGTGTGTATGCAACACAAACATACATGTATAGGTTCAAAATATATATGTAACTCTATTTGCCGTAAAATTTCTTGGTTCTCTTTTTGTGTTTTTGTTTTTATTTTTTTAGTTTTATTTTTAATTATCTCGGTGTTTCTTTTGTTAACAACTGAACAGGGTATTTGCGAGAAATACAAAAATCAGGTTAAGGACTGTAATTCTTTCTCTTTCTTATTTTCTCTCTATATTCCGTTTTCATTTCATTATTTTGTTTTTCTAATTGTTGTTTTGATTTTATAATCCTTAAATATGTATGTATCTATTTATATATTTTATTGCTTCTTGTGTATATTTAAACGCACATATGTAATGCAATACAAAAATTCCTTATTTTTCAATTTATTTGAATTCTTTCGTTTTTTGTAATTTGCCCAGTGATGGTTAACGTTGGTTTCATTTTCTTTTTTCTTTTACAATTTATAGTGCACAACACATTCATATATGCATATAATGTTGATATATATATTATTATGATATTTCATGATAAAATACGATGTTATCCATTGAGTTGTTTTCAACTAACTGTAATGTATGTTGGTTTCCAAAGTGACGTATAGAAATTCAAGAACAAGAAATATTATAGTAGAAAAATTATTTTTTTCTTTTTCGAAATATTTTCTCTTAAATTGTAATAAATTGCAATTTTAATACTAATGAAGTTCTAAGAAAAAAAAAATATTCTATATTAATATATTTATATATATAGTTGGGTGATGAAACTCTGTGGAAGGTCCTGTTCTTGTTATAATGTAATATTAATGGTATTTTTATTATTTATTTTAATATTATCATTTTTGTTTATATTTTTATCGCCATTTTTATAATAATTGTAATCATTTATTTCAGTATTTTTATGATTTTCACTATAATTGTTATTATTTAACTTAATATTTTCATTGACACTTATGTTAATAATAGATTTTTCTTGAAATATTTTAATATACGATGTAATAATAGCCATTTTCTTTATACTCTGTAAATAGAGAAAGAGAAACGATAAAAATGAATTAGTAAACATTCTAATTTGTTGTTAATGTAATAGATATTACATTGTATATAAAAATAAATAATTTATTTAAATTAATTTTCAATATAGTGTATAAAAACCTACATAGCTTCATAATAAAATAGTTTTATGATAAAGAATAAGAAAAAATCCATGTTATAGAAGGCGAACAAAATTTTATTTAAATTTAATACAGTTTACTTGATTCACCTCTATTTATAATATTCACCATACAACATTTAAATTACTATGAATAGATAACATTTATAAAATGCAAATATAAGTAATTGCATCTCTTGTTATTTTTTATTATACGAAAAAAAATTATTTTAAATACGTTCCATAGTCATTATTTTCACTACACTGCAATATTATATGATTCGTGTACTAAAACCAAAATGTCGATTGAAATTTAAAAAAAAAATTATGTTGAAAAATTGAGATATAAAAGAAGAATACTTTGCTAGAGTGGTTGTTAGTTTCGTAGACTGTACGTAAGTAACAATTTTCAGAAAACTTTTACAATAATATTATTTGCGCTGCTCTTCGAGAATTTTTCGTGTAATATACACGATTGATACACTAAATTTTATTTGAAGTTCACTTTTAAAATTGTTCGGTCTCTACAGTCTTTATACAAGCAATTTCGAGGAGGAAGGTATCCTAACAAAAGACATAGATTACCCTAATGTGAAATTTTTCACTCAAATTTTCAAATATGAGTGAAAATTTAGAATCGATTTTAGAGTAAAATTTTTTGAGTGAAATTTTCAAATATGAGTGAAAATTTAGAATCGATTTTAGAGTAAAATTTTTTGAGTGAAGTACATGTGTTTGTAAAAAATCTTTAAGTAATTTTGAGATTTTTCCAGAAAAACGCTCATTCTCAAGTAATTTCGAAACCTTTCAGGAAAGTACACATTATTAAGTAATTTTCTGAATGGCTTTCACATGTTGTTTACTTTACTAAAAACTCAGTTTTGAGTAATTTTTTGAGAGATTTGAATTTGAATTAAGCGGGCCATCCAAAAGACTAGCGTCAAATTATTTGATTGGCAGCGTCAAAAAGTCAATAAGATTTCGCTATTAGATTGCATTTAATTTAGGGGCCATAACTTTATAGACTTCTGCAGTTGTATTATTATTTTTAGTTATGTCAGTGGAATGTAAAAAGAACATACAGATAAAGAAAAAAAGCACGTCTTTTTTAATTTTTTAATTAAAAAATAATAAATGAATAAATCTGTTATTTCTTTTGTTCTTTTCATCTTTTATACTTCTTTGAAAATAAACACACATAAAATATTCATGATTTATGCTGAATAAATTCATTTCTCTTCATTTTATTTTTATTAAATTTAGTATATATACATATGTAAGTATATATGAAATCGCAGTATAAAAAACTGTATATATATATATAGATTAAAACATATACACATACATATATATTTAAAATATTACTTTAAAATCCTCTATTAAAGCACTACGCTTCTTTATTAAAGAAATCCTTTAAAAATTGTGATGAGTTTTGGAACATCATTCATCCTGTATGTTTCATATAATTTTTTGGAAAAATATGACAGACATGTATTGTTAAATATTATGTAGGCTCATCATACGTACATACAACACATATTGTAATAATTTAAATTTTTAATATTTTTCGAATTATGACATCGCAAAATAAAATGGTCAAAGGATTTTTTTATAAAACAAAAAAAAAAAATATAATATGTGTGTGTGTATGTGAAAATTAATTTTTTTTTCTTCGAACTTTCATTATTTAAAATTTGAAAGGAAAGAGAAAAAAAACAGTAATTGGAAAAATATTTAGTTTTGAAAAATTCTAACAAAAAAAAATTCAAAATGAGCTTTGCAAAAAAATAAAAATTAAATTTAACACACATTTTCTTGGGATTTTAATGGTTTTCTGAATGTAAAAAATTTGAGATAATGTTACTTTTGAAATTTTTTAATTCTCTAAAAAAAATAATTGAAAAACAAATGGAATTTTAATTTTTTTCTATATGGTAGTTTAAAACTGCCTTTTTCATTCAAATTGAAACTTCATGTTGAAGATGGACGGCGACTGATTAAGAGCAGACTTCAAGAACATAACTGAGGGTTTAATGGAGGTAACAAATTTCCGACCAATATTGCAATGTAAAACAACTCCAGACCTTATTTCTTTTGTTTTTACAAAAAGTGCATTTTTCAAGTGAAAAGATTTTGCATAAAGTGTCCCCACTTTATGCAAAATCCTTTCAATTTTGTAAGAGAAAGTGATGATATTGAAATATTTTAAAATTCATTTTCAAAATCAATATTTTGCATCAACAAAATGAAAATTTTCAAATCAAAATCATTATAAAAGTTGTTTGATCACATACTACCATAAAAATTCAATCAATTTTCCTATAAACATCAATAAATTTTCATTTTCATATTGTAAATATTCCGTTGTGGATTCACTTTTGTAGATTAAGTACACAATAATAATTATTTCAGTTATAAACTTTGCTTCCAACTTTAATTACAATTTCCGATATTGAATTGCTATAGATCTTAAATTTATAAATTTCAAATAAAACTCTATATGAGTTTCATAAGAATCTGTAATTACGGTAATAATCAAAAATTTAATAATTTAACTTTACACATGTGTATATTGTGTAATATCTTAGTTAAAAGTATATGTTGCTGTATGTTATCAATAAAGTATATAATTCATAAGCACACTCATTTTACTTTGACAATAATTTTATTCAACATTTTCAATTTATTCAGCATATTCTAATTCTATAATAATTCTGATTTAGTCTAATTCTGATAGGCTATATGATAATTGTACGCTATATAATATTTAAAGTTGTCTGATGCTATAGTACAGCTAGGTGTATTTGAAGAATATATTTTTCATTAGTGTTGCATGAATTCCTAAAGACAGCCTTAAAAATTCAGCAAAGAAATCAATATTCATTTACATAAGTACAGGGCATATACTCGGAAATTTTTTTCCAATATCCTTAACAGTATTGTTCATAAGCAATATTGAATTTTTAATACATAAGTTCAGATAAAATAATAATTATTATTACATTATCATTTTATAATAAAATTACCCTACATACCTAATTTTCTTGTTATAAATTATTGTATATCTATATACGTGTAGGTAATGTTAAGATAATGTAAAAACCAAAGATTATTATCTATTATTATTGGTAAATTTTAAATTCTAGCAACGATAGAATGAAAATTTATTTTACATTATTCTTTAAATAGAACACAATGATCACAATATCTATACGTAAAATAGTTATGGTTCATATTTACTACCATCTATATGGTGTTATACGATATTATACACTAATGAGATGGTGCATTTAGTAATTTGCTATATAGTAATTGCATAATATTGTAGTGAAATAGTGGTAAAACGATGAAAGGAAATTAACTATGTGTAGATAAACTGAATTTTTAATGCTAGATTTTGGATGTTCTTTTATTATAATTTTTGGTTTCAAAATAATAATTTTCAATTTTTTTTTTTCATTTCTCAGAAAATGTGAAATAAATAGAAGAATTGAATTTTCTTTTTTTTTTTGTTTCGTTTTTGATTTTCCTTTTGGGTAAAATTAAAAAGTAAATATTTTGAAAACTAAAAACTATCCTTAATAAAAAGGATTTACGCTAATGTAATATTTTGCTAATGGTTATTTTTGTGGCAAAGCAGAAGATGTTGATTGTTAAAATAATATTTGCAGAGGAAATCAATAAAAAGTTTTAAAAGTTTATGAATTCAAATGAAAAACGACAGAGTGAAATAAAATAAGTATAGAAAAATCAACAGTTTCAATTATGAAATTTATGTTTGGTGCATGAATTATTTGTGAAAGAAAATTTAATTTCAAGGCTTTTGTATGGTAAAACTGCAACGCGACCAAGTGAACAAAGTGGATCTATTATGCCCCCTCTTTCAACAATCACATCCAATCATATCATAGCTCTACCGAGTCCTATCTTTTGTTGCGGTTATGTAATCACTAAGAGACTCCATTCTTCGCTTACTTTTGGATCAACGTCCTACACTCACCAAGAATTCTCCTCCATTTCCCCACGGAATATGCAAATACCCTCCCCTTCCAGACAGAAACCTTCGTATGAGACCCACTTCGACCCTAAGTGGATCTATTGTTCATCACGTCTAAAGCGCTCACTCGAGATCTATAATTTTTTTCGGCGAAGTAATCACCCATGAATTCACTTCTTTCCTCACTACCGGAACAAGCCTCCACACTCACCAAGAAGGCTAATCGAAGTCACCTCCATTTCCTCACATAACCTACAAACGCTCCCACCTCTCCTTATTCCCATCTGGTTTTTACCCTTTACTAGTATTTTGTTACAGCGCATCTAGTTATCGCTCAGAAGTTGCTTGGGTGATATTCGAGGACGTCCCATCAATTACTCAAATATCGCCTTTTCTGCCTAGTTTGGTTTGCATAGATTTGTTCGTCAATTTTTTCATTCTGTAGTATCATTATAATAATCATCTTCTTATAATAATATACCTATATAAAAATTTCTTTAAATAGTAATGTTCGTTAGAATCTACGAGAATGTTCGTTTAGAGTAATTTTAGAACTTTTCCTTAACTCATTCAAATTTTTCCCTTTTGAACTTATTTATGGTATGTAATCGATGCATGTACCAAAAAGGGTATGTTCGAAGGGTATACTAAATTTGCCTTACCGTTTGTAACGCTAAGAAATAACGGTGATAGATATAGACTCAAGTGTATGTTTTTGATCAGCGTCAAATTCTGAGTTGATTTAGCTTTGTCTGTCCGTCCGTCCGTCCGAACGATAACTCAAAAACTAATTGAGCTAAGTTCACCAAATTTTCACAAATGATTTATTGTAGTAAGTGCCAGAACCTATTTAAATTGGACATGA